AATAGGATCTTCGGGAGCGCGAACAACGTAATCGAAGACGAAATCAGCCACGGGAGGAAGATGGGTCTACCAAAGAAAATGCGAGCGTCGGTCGGAGTTTCTTAAGTTCGAAGCTTCAAACTAGAGAAACAATCATAGTGCGAAGGTAGTTTGGTTCCAAGACCAAGTGGGCCGATTCCCGGTTCCCCAAATTGGGAACCAACCCGTTTGGTCCGATTCCCGATTCCAAGGTGGGAACCGGCCCATCCTGGAACCGATCACCTCTAAGATAAATACCATTATGGATCCTCTTCGGAAAAAATGATCCCACTTGAGGTTATTATTTTAATTTTGCACTTTGACTCACGTATCGCTAGAATGCTACTTGGCTTTCTTGAAAGCTCAATATTGTGTATCGAAAGACCGGTTCTTGCCAATTTGTGGGCCTCAATCATGAAAATGGGAGTAAGGACACTAGAAGTGCCAAAAGTTGTGTACGACGCTCACTTTGGTGCCAAAAGTTTCATTTGGATCACTTAAGTGCCAAAAGTTTACGCCGGTGATCACTTAAATGCCAAATCGGAGAAAAAACGATCACTTAAGTGCCAACGGCGAGAAATTCCGATCAAATTTAATACGTGGCTTTTATATTTAAATTTTAATAACACGTGGCATTTCCACGTGTATAATTCACTTTTTTAAATTTTTTCTGATTTTTTTTTCTTTCTTTTCTTTTTTCTTCTTCTTCTTCTACCATGGCCGGTGGCCAGAGGCCAGCCACCAGCCATGGCCGGCCTCGCCGGGTGTCGCCTTCCTCCGGGCGAGGCCCGGCAAGGCAGTCGTGGCCTCGGCGAGGGCCGACCTCGCCGGATCTGGCGAGGCGAGCCCTCGCCAAGGCCACGGCGGACTCGTCGAGGCGTCGCCTTCCTCCGGGAGAGGCCGCCATGGCCTCGGCGAGGGCCGACCTCGCCGGATCTGGCGAGGCGAGCCCTCGCCTAGGCAGAGCGAGCCCCGGCGAGGGCTCGCCTCACCAAATCCGGCGAGGCCGGCCCTCACCGAGGCCACAGCAGCCTCGTCCGGAGGAAAGCGACGCCCGGCGAGGCCGGCCATCGGAAATAAGAAGAAAAAAAAGAAAAAAACGAAAAGAAAGAAAAGGAAAAAAAAAAGAAATGCCACATCAGCCTCCGGCGAGCCACATCAGCTTGAGAAATTAATAAAAAAAATACCACGTCGGATTTCCGGCGAAGTGGCACTTAAGTGATCGTTTTTCACAACTTTTGGCACTTAAGTGATCCGATTGAAACTTTTGGCACCAAAGTGAACGCCGTACACAACTTTTGGCACTTCTAGTGTTCTTCCTCCATGAAAATGTATGTTATGTATCGATTAATACAATCGACTGGCTAGCTAACCAATCACATTGCTTCGATAATATGCATATTCTGTACAATTTTCGCATGTATATTGCTAAGTTCTCCCTCTTTATTCATTGGTTACACCTATTATTGCCGCCTGGCCTGAACTTCCTGCCCCACGTTCACATCAAGAATGAGAATGAGGAAACGTCTCCTTTCCAGGTGTTCTGTCCGGCGTGCGGCTAGCCACGTGGCATCATCCAATCGGCGAGCAGTCAAACTCCTGTGGGGCCTTGCATGACTATGGTGGTGGCTGGTGGGCCTTTACCACCGTCCAACCTAATTGCCTAACTCCAAATTAAAATAAGCAAGAATTTCACAGCTGAAAAGAAGCTTGTACCCGATTAGAGTAATCGGGGAAGCGGGGATGAAGATCAAGAAGTTATTGACATTTTCCATTTGAGATTTTGTTTGATTCAGAGAACAAATTTAGTTTTCTTCATCATGTGATTTGATTAAATATTTTGAGTTTATGTTCAAATAAGTAAATAATATCATTCAAATGAATTTCGTTAAAAGAGAGTAGAGTTTTTTTTTTCTTTTCGCATAAGATCTCGATCGTTTATATAAGAGAATCGAGGCGAAGAGGGCCTACTTTTCCTGATGCTGAGTCATCCTATTCCAATTAAGGTATGCTGAGGGAACACGAAAAGTTGTCAGATGATAATAGACCCCTAAAAAAAGGGTTTTCGTGAGAATGATCGAAATGAGATAAGAGTAATTTACTCTTACTTCTATGACTATCTTCTCCATTGCATGATTCATAGGGGTGTGCAACCGGATAAGTTTACCCAAAAATCGGATGGATCCACCCGAAAAACAGGTTCGAGAACCAATTCCCATTTGAACTGGTCCGAAACCGGTTCCATGTTTTGGGAATCGGTTAGAACCGGTCCAGTTTCCAATTCCAAGTGAAAATCTACCCGGACCGATTTTAGAATCAGTTTTATATAGAGGTCCACTTGCAATTTTATATGGCCAGAATTCAAAGCATTCTATCATAAAGGATGAGGGAGGTGATCATTATTTGCAGATAGTCTAACTCAATGGCTTGTAAGTATTATATAGAGCAATTTCCTTTTTCTTAAGATTTTTGTTCTGTAACGAAGAAACTATGTATCCAACTGGAACCTATGCTGTTTTATCACGTCTATTAAATTATTGGGACTAAGATAATATGCTTTTGTATGAATACTTAAGATTGTTTGCATAGTCAAACTTATAACCTTTGATTTGAGTTATAAGTTTTCCTATTTGCTATCCGAAAAAAATGAAAACAAAAAAAGGAACAAAAAAAAGGGATTCTCGGGTAGACCCTGTAATTGGACCGAAAAAACAGGGTAGGTTCCAAAACAGAGTCCAGGGCACATAGAGTAGGTTTCAGATTCCAAAAACTAGGAACAGGTTATAACAGGATCGGTTTCAGATTTCAGGTCTGGAATCGACTCACCTTGAAACCGATCACCCCTAATGATCCAGTACTTCCATCTGCTCTACCATTAATTAACTCAAACGGCGTTAGTTGATTAGTTGTCAGATATTGAGCTGAGGACACAAATTTCGTGTTTAAATAACATCAGTCTCACTGAAAGTAACTTTGGCCCCGGCTGCTACTCTTGTGCACGTGGACAAAATGATTTGCATGAGCTAGTGAAAGTTAATGGAGTAAAGTATCGGAACTCTGCATAGTATGATATAAGAATTCCTGATATACTTCTACTTAGAATAATCAGTATTTTATCCTAATGCTTAATCGATTGTCTACGATCTAAGGTCTTTTCAATCTGCCAAACTTCACTTTTTCGAAATTTGAAAACATATAAGCATGGGCTGCTTTCACAACTTTTAGATCGTTCACAAGACTATTGTAATACTCGCCGAGGGTGGAATCTAATAATGTAAAAACGTGACGTACGTGGGGACGCAAGTGGAACGATAATGAAAAATGACTCACCATAGTCAATATCTGTCGCTCTAGGACAACAATAACGCCAGAGTTTTAGCCTATAGCCTTTGATAAGATTTTTGAGTCAGTGGGGATGATGAATTTCATGCGTTTGTCTCAAGTAATTTGTGCAGGATTCCCAATTTCCTATGCCGATGCACCTTGGACAACTCCTAGGAATGGACCGTCTGTTACCCAAAATGCCAACAATTTAATTTTTTTCTGTACCGACTCGAATCTCGAACTACATAGGAATGCTTTCACCCTAAACAAATGCTACTTACCTTATTAAATTTGATTTAACCATTGTCTTCATTTTGCTAACTGGCCAAAAAAAAAACAATTGTTGTTCGATTTGCAACACTAGGAACATAGGTACTGCGAAAACCGGGAAATGATAAAGAGAATACAATTTTTTTTTGGAGAGGGATATGCATCTTGCTAAAAGCTGGATTCTTGTATGCTACATCACTATTAATCAAAAAAAAAAGAATCATCATTGTGATTCGGATCCATGATCCTCAAACAGAACGATATGTGATCTTTAGATCAAAGTGACTCTGAGACGTGATCCACCCGAATCATTAATTGTACATGCACTTAATAAGTGGAAAGTATCAGTAACTCCTAAGTAGACATATATAGTAGGTCCATCTAATTTGTCAAACCCAATTCAATTACAACTCTTCAGGGTCTAGACCTTCTTTCATCAAACTCAGAAAAATTTCAAAGCCTAAGCAAGAACTGTCAGGGATAGAAGAGGGCACTTCTAGATCAATCTGGTTGAACAGTTTGGTGGAATTGATGGTGTCACAGTAATATTTCTTGACAGATCAGTAGAAAGAAATTAATGATGGATTTTACAGAAGGAAGAAAATCAAACCTAACAAAGAAAAAGGGGAAGAAAGAAAGGAAAAAAAGAGGGAAAAGAGAGAGCATGAACGTGAGTGTATGATGGTTTAGGTCGCCTTCAGTGGGGGCTGCACAAGACACGGTGACTCAAAGGCCGAAAGTGAGATGATGTTGACGATGATGGCCGGGCTGATATGACCTCCATTATTCTTTGGCTTTTCCAATGAAGATTGGATCACAGAGGAAGAATACCATAAGAGAAATTATATCATTTAAGACTTTTCGAGAAAAATACCAAAAACAGAATTCAATTTCTATTTAGATATCGGCCACATGTCTCCTTACTTTTCAAATTATATGTTTCGAACGTCACCCGCCACCCCTCCTGCCGCCGGTCACCATCTCCGTCATCTCTAAGTGCCCTTATCTATCGATGCCGTCAACACCAGCCCCCTTTGCGTCGGCTCCCCTCCCTCTCTCTTTCGCTTAGTATAACTTTCTCTCTCTTGACTCTTCAGCCGTGCGCTCGTGACTCTATAATTGATATTTAGGTAAAAAGTACAAATATGCATTTTGAAAAGCACAAACATGTAATTAGTATTTAGATGAAAGGTGAAAAATATTTTGGCATTTTCCCAAAACTTTTTTCTTAGTGTTAATTATGACACCAACATGCTTAATTTTCTTGGAGCCAGTGAACGAGGAGTGTCAAATCCCAAGATTCTTCCAATCTTTCTCTTCTCTTTTTTCTATTGTTTTTACCACCTTATTCACCGATTCACTCTGCTATAAATAGCTTGTTCCACTAGATCATCTTCATCTCACTCTCGTACTCCAACACTCCACTCTCTCATTTCTCCTTCCTCTCTCGACCTTCAATTTTGACCCACGTAGCTTGAGCTTCTGTTTATTTTCTAAGCAGCTTTTGAAAAAAGTAATTCCTTCGGATCTCCAATGGCCACCGTCGAGGTAACTCTAATAACTACTCATTAAAGTTCTTGGAGTAGAAACCTTGGTTCAACACGTTTAGCTCTAGTCGAAGAGATGATTTCCGAAAACTGTTTTGCCAAGTAGGACAGTTACAATCAATCCGTGATCGTCATTCTTCGCCGAAAGACACCCGAAAATGAAGAAACGTGTTATTATTAGATTATGTTTTCGAATGAAAGGATCGACCTACGATATGATTTCTTACGGTTTTGTTTATTTTGCTGATCCGTATACATGAAATGATTTTTGTGGATGAAACAGGTTGTATCAGCACAAGCTGCGCTCGTGGAGGACAAGTCTGAAGAGCCAATCGAAACTCCTGTCCATCAAGAGGAAGTTGTGGTGGTCGCAAGAAAAGAAGACCCCAAGAAAGAAGAAGATCGAGAAGAGCCAGCCGAGACCGAGACCGAGACCAAGACCGTAACCGAGAGTCCCGAGACCAAACAAGAAGACGGCGTCCCCGAAACAACTGAAGGAGAACAGACTGAATCGAAAGAAGAAAAAGAAGTCGAGGCACCAAAGGAGACTTCCAAGGTGGCACCCGAGCCGGCCGAGAGCAAGGAGGAAGCAAAAGAAGCCGACACGAAATCAGCGGAACCTGAGGCGGTCGTGGACAAGGAGACAGAGACCAAGGAGACAGCGGTGGCCGAACCAGACCCAGACTCCGCCGTGGAGGCTCCGAAAGAGGAGGATGTCAAAGGAGGAGGAGTGGAGGAGGGAGAGAAGGAAGAGAAGGGAGCTGCTGCTGCTGCTGCAGAAGCTGATGAGAAGAAGACTACTGATGAGTGATGTGTCTGTGGAAGAGTGAGTGAGGGAGTGAGAGCAAGTCTTGTCTGTGCATGAGTGTTTGGTGTGCTAGGGGGGTTTGTTTCAGTGACCTTGGTCTAGGGATCTAATAAAGCAATCTACTGGTTTTCTGATGTTCTGGTATTGTAAAAATTACTATGTAGTATCTGTCTTTGTGGATTGGCCCTGTCACTTGGCAGATCTCAAGAGGATGAGTTCCATGATTCCTTGGTCTTTGGGATTTTGCTTCTTGGCCTCCATAAAAATAAATACTACTTCTATAGGGTCTACTTGCTCTTCCTTTTGTTCATGGTTATATATGTTGCAGCATGCTTATTTGCTTATTGCTTGGTTAACCTTATTGAATTCGCTTCTGATCGCTTTCCCGAACTAAAGTTCGATGTAGGTCGCCATTTCCTTTTACCGAAACTTTTCGAAAACCCATTTCAGAATGCACCGGTACTACATAACTCCCGATGCATATACACTATTTTGAAACTACTAGCTCGTTCCAATGACTATGAATATTTGTAAAATTAATAAAGATAGTATTTGAGAGTTGTTGACAAATTTGTCTTGAGTAAAAAAAAAATCATCTATTTATAAGATAGATTTTTCGGTTAAAAATATATTTTTGTCTTTTTTTTATTTTTCACATTGGGCCTGTCCTTTGCGAATGGAGAGCCCATTTGTGTAGATAAATCGCAGCCGTCGGATTATTCCCCAATCAAGATCGACGGACGAGGATTCATGAGCAGATTATCCGAACTGTCGGCCCCCTGCTCTTTAACTACCACCAACCGTCCGGTCAGTCGGCCAGAAATGGCGACGGCGCCGCTGAAGTCGCCGGCGAGTGTCGCCGGAAGGGACGGAGTGTACGTGGCGGCGGTGCCGCTCAGAGCAACGAAAGGACCAGCTCAGCTGCTGGCTTCGGCCGCCTATTCGCTCAAGCTCTGGGAGTTCCAGCATTTCATGGTCATCGTCAGAACCTCCTCGCCACCATCCGATTCTCAGGTTCTTGATTGATTGTGTTTGCGTGGATTCTGCGTTATGGGTTCCCATTTCGAATTGTTGATAAAGGGGCAAGTTTGTTGATAGGTGTAAGTTCTGGAAGTTAATTGTATTGTTGGGTCTTCTTTTGTTGATGTAATGCCTCTGAATTCTTTTGTTTGAATTCGATTCAAGTGTTGCCCACATTCTGTTAGCACTAAGACCTGATCTGATGACTTTCCTTGGTTTCTTGTTTATGTTTTAGGCATGTGTGTTTGATTTTCAACCTGAAGACCCTGAAAATGTGTACGTGGCGCTTGCAGCCTTGTCAGGTAGATCAATTCCAGGTTGGTTTATGAATTCTCCAACTACTACAGTCCTCCTCATGCAATCATTTGGAAATATTTAGCTTGATTCTAAGTTAGAGTCAGTTTGGTCCTAACAGAGGGAGTTGCTGATGATGCGAAATCCCGGGGATAAAAGTCCGGTCAGACTTGGAGATTGAAATTCATATTCATGTCAACTGTGTCCAGTCTGTGTTTGCGTATTGATTGTACATTCTTCTTCTAGGAACTGTTCTCAAAAGAAAGTTGACAAAGCTACCGAAAGAAAGGTGCTGGTTTGTGGGATCATGTGGAGAGCATGCTCTGGATGTTGCATGTAAATTCAGCAACCTCTGGGAGACCGACTTGAAAATTGGGCATCACGATTGCCGCGATTATGCCAATGGTAATCAATCTGATAGGACAAAATTCAGCTACTTCATATGTTTGTGCTTGTATGTACCTGCAGATGATGCTTGGGTCTATTTGATCGGATGAGGAACTCTCACTTAACTTTTGGATGCTATCATGATCCTTTTCTGATCTTATAAAACTTTTGTGCACAGGGCTGGTTGAGCACCTTACTGGCGAAAAGGATGTGCTAAAGCGCTTGAGAAGAAGCTTTGTTGATCTGGACTAGGGCATCAAGTTACTGGTTACATTGTTTTAGCTCTGTAAGTTCATCTATGTGCTTGGTACCAAGGAGAACAAAGTTGAACGAAAACTACCATTGAAAGTGGTAGGCTTATTAGTATAGTAGATTTGAAAGTTCAATTTTATTTCTTATTCCTAAATTTAATCAATTACTTCCCCGCTGTATTTATCAATACGAAAATTAATCTTTCAGATTGCTTTTATGTTGATATCTTGGAAGATAAGGCAATACACTTTAGGCTGTCATTATCGCTAGTTTCTGCTTCACATTATTTGACAGATTGAGTTCACAACCAGGGGTGGATGCCATGGTGGAAATTAATTACCAGATAAGCATTTAATTTTTGGAGCGTAAAATATAGTAAAAGAAGTATTTTGGACAATGGACATCAATAGGAATAAAAGGAATCCATTGGATACAGCTACTTTCTATTCCAATTAGTGAGCCCATTGTCAACCGTTGGATTTTACACGACCAATGAGGATTCATCTGCAGATTATCCAAACTTGCCTCTTCTTCGCTTCTTTTAACTTCCACCAGCTGTCTGATTAATTTGAGAAAATGGCGTTGGCGTCACTACAATTGACCATGAACATTAGTGGAAGAGACAAAGTATATGTAGCAGCGCTGCCATTTAGAGCAACGACAGAACCATTTCAGTCAGTGACATCAGCTCTTCACGCACTCCATCTCTGGGATTTGCAACATTTCGTAGTCATCATCAAAACCTCTTCACCACCATCCAATTCTAAGGCATGGTTTGTCTTTATCAATTTTCAAATTTCAGATACTTACTTGATGGATATGGGTTTGGATATTAATTTGTTGGGTCATCCTATGGTGATGTTTACCCATAATTTTTGTTGGAATTTAATGATATTTTGCCTAGAACAAGTGGATTTTTTACAGCATGTTTGCATTGATTTTCTAGTATTATTTACAAATGTCTTAGGCATCTCTTTTTCATTTTCAACCTGAAGACCCCCAAAATTTGTTTGCTCTGGCACTTGCGGCCTTGCCAGGTGGATCGATCCCAGGTTAGTCTATGAATTCTTCGACTCTTCTGATCCACAAATGCTGAATTATAGTCAGTTTAGTCTGAGATGCTGATTTTGCAAATTTTTTGGTTATGAATATCGTCAGGCTTGAAGTTCATTTTGTCTTTGTTCAGTCATGTTGCCTAATGAATCTACACCTTTTTTCTCAAGGAACTCTTCTTAGAAGAAAGTTGACAAGGCTACCCAAACAAAGATGCTGGTTTGTGGGATATAGTGAAGAGGATTCCCTGGACATTGTACTCAAAATTAACGATACATGGGAAACTGACTGGAGGATGGGTATTCACGATTGCCGCAATTATGCCAACAGTAATTATCGTTCCGAGACCACCCAATTCAATTGTGGTTGATATATAGTGTTTTTAAACCTGTGACCAACACCGATGTGTGTCTGCTTGATCAGATATACTCTATATTATAACACATATGGTCTCGACTCTAAACTGACTTTTATATATTGCTGTGATCCTTATTTGATCTCCTTGCACTGCTTAGAGCTGGTCGAGCGCCTTACTGGTGAAAAGTATGTGTTAGAGCGCTTGAGAAGATGCACTGGTTGGCTGATTTAAGGCATCAAATTTCTGGCACTACTCCTGTAAGTCACCTCAATGTCGTCGATTACTCTTCCACAGTTACAGGCCGCCCCATTAAGATTCATAGCACTCAATTACTTTTGGTTTGTTTTTATATGTTTGTTTTCTGGTATGCCAACCCAGATTTCGTAATGTCATTATTGCTGGTGTGATGTTCTGCTAGTTCAAGTGCTCAAGATGTTGACATGCTCTACAATTTAGACAGTGACCATCATAGCCAAGAGTGTTGACGGAAATTGCTGATGAGACAACCCTTTATCATTGCAATGTGAACTCCAATCCCATACAATCGTAAAAAAGGACAGACTGGGCAATATGTGAAACTCGAATGTTTCGGTCCCCTTAAGCTTTTATTGAAGATACCTTTGTGAACCGGTATAATATCTTTTTGGAGGAAATTGATTCATTAGGAATTACGAGCAATACTGTGAAGAAATGGCATGTTTTTGTCATTGGTCCTTACATGACAGGGCAACGGTTCACGAAGATTGAGGATTGGCTTACATTCCGATCTCTAAGCCTTCTCTCTAAACCCAAAATGCGCATCCCAACCAAGCTCAAAACCTTCAACATCGCGGAACCTCTCTTTTGTGATCCGTGTATCCTCTGTGCCTATGTCGAAGTCCATCGCTCCATTGTAAAACTCATTGGGGTGTGGTCAGGTGACTTGTAGGCGATTAAGCTCATATTAGTTGCATCTCACCTTACAGCTTTCTGCATTTTCATCCCCATGAGCACTCAGAGAGAGAGAGAGAGAGAGAGATCATCCATGTCTCTTAGCACAGTATCACTGTCACATGATGGTAACACCGACTCGATCCTTACTCTTGGGTGATCAATGGTGATTTATGTGCTTCTCTTCATGGTCTTACATCATTTCACAACAACAAAAGCAGGACCATAAGGTCCTTGAGATCTCTTTCGCACTAGGGTCAACGGAAACCCCTCTCTTTTAGTCATTTCGCTTTTGAGAAATCCATATCCCATCTTATGTCCTTACTCTAGAGGAAACAAAAATGGAGACAAAAAGACCAGGGGGATGTCCAAGATGTGTGATCCACTGATTTATAGGAGCCATGTTTGATTGATTCAATCTGGCCTGTCTTGCTTTCTATAAAAAAGACCTCAGATGTTTCGTTTGAGAATTTTCAAACGAATCCGAACCAAACCGCGAGGATAACATTCACACCAGAACAAAGTTCAGTTTGTTTTGGCTTCAATCCACCTTTTTCAATCAATAACTTTCTTTTTTTGAACTGTGGAATCTAAAAACAAAAATGAAAGGCGATGTAATTCTGGGTTGGACCTTTCATCAATCGTGTGCGAAAGAAGCCATCGAAAGACCGATTATGTTGCACAGATTCTTGTGTGAAACAAGTTTGTGGCTGCTAATGAGTTTTACTTGGTCATGCTACAATTCATCTCTTGTATTTGCCATGACTAGAAGAAAAGATCCACATACTTTGTTTCATTCATGGGACCAGCTGTTGATTTTTTGTGCCAACTTTACTTGCATAAGAAAACAAAAGCTTGGAAACATAACCCTGATCTTCCTTTCGAACGCCAATATTTTTCTTTGCTTCTATATGAGCGGTCATGATGCAGAGTTTTGATTATCTGCACACTGAATGAATGTGGGAGATAACCCTGATAAAAAAGAAACCCTTTTCATGTTCCAATGATTCACCTTTTGACCCTTATGTTAGTCCCTTCTTTTGACATTGAAATGTTCAACTCTGCATATATGCCATTGCTATACGGCGGAAATATCCAATGGACATGCGCCCTTATCTTTCTGCAACTTGAGCCATAAAGACAAATCATGAAATATTTTTTTAATCCATGGTCATAAACATCTAGTTTATGCCTCTCTCTCTCTCTGTATCTTTTTATGGGGTAGGTATTCTTGCATTGAGGTGAGGAAATACTGGAATTTTTGGCATTTGCATCGAGCAACTCCACCTGGGGTAGGTTCTAAAAGAATCCCTATACTGCCAAACATTTTCAACCGCTCAACCTAACAATGTTGAAGACTATGCGGCCATGACTTAGCTCTGACTTGATATAAACAAAGATGATCATGATCATGAACATGAAAAGGGTGTATCGAGCACATAAACAGTACGCGAAGCTCGCACATACGGACACGACGGCACGGCGTCATGAATGACTTAATTATTAAGCCAAGATCAAGATGGGGAAGAACCCCCACCACGAGGGAAAGCACAATTCTGCTGAATTGCCCTTCCTCTTTATCTTTTATGTTCTGGTTGAAATGCTTGTGGAAGAAATTGGAAAGTTTAAGGGATTACTTAGATAATTCCTCCTGGTGGGGCCAAGGCCAACCCAAAAGTTTTTATTTTTGTCCAACTGGCCTATGAGTCACACCCCATACAGATTGGAAAGAGCTCGCACCCATTTGAAAAACAAATCCAATCTGACGTGAGCACATGATCTGAATGGGTTGATGCCAATCACAAGCCTTAAACAAAAGAACTCTGGATTCACAAAAGCAGACTCACAGAGAGAGAGAGAGAGAGAGAGAGAGAGAGAACATGGACCCTAATTATATCTCAAATAATAAATATATGAACTTGAACTTACAATACAATGAAGCATCTTCTTCCTCCTTTCTTTTTCTTTTGGGTTTTTTAAAGAAATTGTCATGTGTCTGAGTGGGAATCTATCCAGCTGAGGCTTCCCACATGAACAAATGAATGGAACCATTTGGGCATGCCCTGCAACGAAATGTCCCTAAACTTACCCTTCTTGGGGTCATAAGCCGCCAATGCCCGGCTCTTATACTCCAACAATATCTCACCATTGTCCAATCCGCACACAACCCTAGAGACCCTCCCATTCATGCTCTTCCACATCTTGAACGGCATGAAGTTCACGTTTTGCTTGAGAGCCTTCGGCATGTATGACCCGATGATGTACTCTCTCGTCCATGACTCCTTCACATTGTATGTCTTCATGACCCAAATCTCCAGCCTCCCGTAATTGCAGTAGACTATGGCTGAGAGGCAGCCCCTCAGGGCCATCAGCTGGTAGTTGGACCGGCCGATGGGCCCGCCCTCGGGCCTCAGCACCTCCCGGAACTGCTCGTCCGCCAGGTCGAAGGACACGAGCTGCCGCGCCGTCCGGTACCTCCGAGGCCCCGCGACCCAGTGCAGCCTCCCGTTGACCACCGTCTCCGATGGCCTCTTGTCGATCTGGTACGGCGCCCGCCCCAGGCTCCGCCAGGCCGGGCTCCTCCCGAGCGTCAGGACCTGAACCTCCGACTGCACGTGCGGGACCCGCCGCGCCCGGCGGGACCCCGCCCCCGCCCTAGATGGGTTCGGGTAGTATGCTATCTTGATCACCTTGTACTCCCTGGTTTCCGGGTGGAAACCGAACCCGAAGACCACGGTCTGGTCCGCGTACTGCCGCGATGGTGGCAGTTCCCTGCAGTCCCCGGTGAAGGGGTTGTACACGAACAGCGTCTCCCTGTAGAGCGAATCGGCGAGGCACAGCAAGCCGTTGCAGGAACCCACCACGTCGAATTCGGGCATCGAATTCAAGAAAGGCGGATTGAATTTCCCGACAGAACTCTTCTTGGATCCGCTGTGCCCACAATCCTGGTCCTGAGCGGACAACTCCACGAAGCTGAGCTGGTTCCTGAGAGGGAAGTCGCTGTGGAACACCAGGAACGGATCCCTCGCCGCCGTGCGGGCGAGCTGCGCGTCGGGAAGAAGCGGGTCTCGGCCTAGAGCCCGCCAGGACCGGCAGACGAGCCGGAACCGCACGAGCGACGTGATGGGCAGCCGCGACAGGATGTCGAGGACGATCTCCCTCGGCAGGCCCTCCATGCCGTTCTTGGCCTCGGCCTCGGCTCGCCGGTCATCGCCGCCCAGCTCGCATCTCAGCTTCTTACACGGCGGCTCATGGACGAACTCCATGGACCATCACCAGGGAAGACAGAGAGAGAGGAGGAAAGCACCAAACGTTTTTCAACACCAACAACAACCGAGCACAAGAAGAAAGCAAGCGAGGGACACCAATGAGAGCCTGCGAACGAGGACACGATGACTTGCGGATAAACCCTATGAGTGACTATAGACAAAGTTGTGGGTGAGCGCATAAAAACATTAAAAGGAGACGGAAACCACAAGGAAGAAAATGCTCGTAAGATCGTGGGATCCACCCGTTGAATTATGCTCCTTAGCTAGGGAGGAGGAGGAGGAAGAAAAAAATTAAAGCTGGAGATTGAATTTATGATCATGGAAAAAAGAAAAAAAACAGAAAAGGGCGGTCCGAGCGATCTGAGCCGTCCGATCGAGCCGTGCGCTGCCGCCGTAATCGCGATTTAATCGAATAATTAAATCCAATTCGATGACTATTGGTCAGTGATACACACTAGTGATGAGGACCCTCCACCCCCAATTTCTACATTATTCCAAAGAAGAAAGTTAAAGAATTACCAAAAAAAAAAAAATAATCGTGTTTTGTCTAAACCTTCATTCACATAATGGGTTAATACCACGAAAAATTCTAAATTGGTACACTTATGACAATTTTATCTCGAAATAATTTTTCGATCACCAAAAACCCCAAACTGGTACACTTGTGACAAATTTACCCCGAACTAATTTTTTGACCACCAAAAACTCCAAACTGGTGCACATGTGACAATTTTACCCCAAATTAAATTTTTTACCACTAAAAATCGAAAACTAGTACATTTGTGACAAATTTACCCTCCATTAGTGCTTGTTAAATTGGATTACCATCACGAAAAATCACAAATTGGTAAACTTGTTACCAACAAAGGGGTAAAACTCCAAACTGGTGCATCCGTTAATTATCACGTGTCATCAAACTTAACAATTTGACAGTAAGATTTAACGGAAACTAATGGAGGGTAAATTTGTCACAGGTGTACCTGTTTGGGGTTTTTGGTGGTCAAAAGATTAGTTCGGAGTAAAATTATCACAGGTGTACCAGTTTGGAGTTTTTGGTGGTTAAAAAATTAGTTCAGGATAAAATTGTCACAGGTGTACCAGTTTGAAATTTTTAGTGGTCAAAAAAATAATTTGGAGTAAATTTATCACATGTATATCAATTTGGGGTTTTTCATAGTATTAATCCTTTAATAATTTATAATAGTTTATCTCCTTGTATCTTTCTCACGGGACGGCGATGTCATTCATGTGCATTTATTGTATACTTGACTTGATGAAGTTTCTTGAAAATGCATGATGAAGCAAGATTTCTCTCTGGCACCCTCAATTATTTCAAGAATCCGATATTCAATGCCATACCAAATACAAAAATATGTGAAAATCTAGCGCCAGAGATCACGGAATCGCGTTGCCGAGAGTTTCAGAAAA